ACACTACAGCCCAAGTAATGGGAATGGTACAACAAATGAAAAGCCTAAAGGTAAAGCGAAGGAGGCAACACAGCCTAAACAAACAGCTAAGGAGAGGAAGAAGGGGATAAACCTTCCTTCATCATCATCATCATAATTTGTAGCACTTGGAATATTAGGGGCATGAATACTCCCCTGAAACAAAATGGTGTTCAACATTTTCTGAAACAACATAATATTGATGTTTTGGGTATTTTGGACACGAAGTTGGAAGCGTCTAAACTTGACCGAATCATGCGGAATAAGTTTGGTAACTTTTTGCAAATGAATAACTTGCCTTGTCATAGGGCAGGCCGTATTGTGGTGCTATAGAACCCCTTGAAAGTGTAATTGGAAGTCTTGGATATTACCGCACAAATCATCCATTGTGCCATTACTTGCAAGGTAACCTCTCTTAAGTTCATGATGAGCTTTGTGTATGCTTTTCATTCCATTGTTAGTCGGAGACCTTTGTGGGATACTATTATGAATTTTGGATTGGAATGTTCACTGCCTTGGATGATCTTGGGAGATTTTAACAGTGTTCTTCATTTTAATGAAAGGAACAATGGTACAGATGTGACACCATATGAAATTAGAGATTTTGAAAATGTCTGTTTAAATGTGGGACTTGCAGATGTGCGGTCTATTGGGTGTTTCTATACTTGAACTAACAATTCCAAGTGGAGCAAGATTGACAGGGCTATGGTTAATGATATGTGGGTGCAAAAGGGATTTAATAGTTTTGCAAATTTTCTACCTTCGGGATGCCTCTCAGATCATTCTCCCTATGTTGTCTCTCTTTTTGGAAATGATAATAGTACGAGAAGACCGTTTAGATTCTTCAACATGTGGGCTAACCAAGAAAATTTTCTTGAAGTGGTACAAAATGTATGGGCTTTTGAGGTCAGAGGAACCAAACAATTCATTCTATGTAAGAAGTTGAAATTGTTAAAGGGTGAACTGAGGTGATTCAATGAAAGACACTTTGCTCATATATCTTCTAGAGCTAGCATGGCTACTTCTAAGCTGAAAGAAGCTCAACTGGAGCTACATGATGATCCATGTAATGAGGATCTACAATGTAAAGTGGTATATTTGAGGAAGAAAGCTAGGGACTTGGGTGAAGCGGAAAGGAGTTTTTACTCCCAAAAAGCTAAATGTGAGTACCTTATTAAAAGTGATAAGCGTACTAAATTTTTCCACTCCATAGTTCAAAGAAATGCTACAAGGAACTTTATTGCTAAAATCTCTGAGGGTGGTACCTATACTTCATCTTTGGACGAAGTTGCTGAGGAATTTGTTAAATTCTATACTGATATTCTTGGGAAAGAAAGGCCAGGAACACCAATCTGTGATTATATCTTGAGGGGTGGATCTAGGCTTTCGGAGGAGAATGCTTTAACTTTGATTAAAGACATTTCGGAGGATGAAATTAAGGAAGCCTTATTCTCTGTTGGGGATGACAAATCACCGGGGCCGGATGGTTATTCTTCTTACTTTTTCAAAAAGGCATGGAACATTGATGGTAAAGACTTTATGGATGCAGTGTTGGAATTCTTCAATGCTAGTAAACTACTCAAGAAAACTAATCACATGGTTGTAGCTTTGGTTCCAAAGGCAATCATTCTAACTCCGTTGGGGATTATAGGCATGTTGCTTGTTGTAATGTGTTTTATAAGGTTATCACCAAGATCATTGCATCTAGGTTGGGACCTATGCTTGGGCCTATTATTGATCAAGCTCAAGCCGCTTTTGTGGAGGGAAGAAGTATGGTGGAGAATATTCATCTTGCTCAAAAACTTCTTAGGCAATATAACCGTAAGAGGGTGACCCTTAGATGCCTTCTTAAGGTTGACCTTAGAAAGGCCTATGATTCGGTGAATTGGGAATTCCTATGTAGTGTTCTTGAAGGACTTGGCTTCCCAACAAAGTTTATTGGATAGGTGATGGAATGCATCTCATCACCTACATATTCCATTGGGCTTAATGGTGGGCTATATGGTTACATTAAGGGAAAAAGGGGTTTTCGTCAAGGTGATCCTCTTTCACCCTTTTTGTTTGTGATTTACCTTGAATATTTCTCAATGCTTAAGAATGTGATGAAGGATAGTGAATTCAGTTATCACCCAAAATGTGGTCCTTTAAAAATTACTCATCTAGCATTTGCCGATGATTTGATGCTTTTTGCTAGAGGGGATCCTATATCGGTTGGCATTATGATTGAGTGTTTGAATAAATTTGGGGATATGTCGGGACTTCAGATGAATGTTAGTAAGTCCAACTTGTATATGGCGGGAGTGCATGGACAAGAATTGTTGCTTTTTGCTAGAGGGGATCCTATATCGGTTGGCATTATGATTGAGTGTTTGAATAAATTTGGGGATATGTCGGGACTTCAGATGAATGTTAGTAAGTCCAACTTGTATATGGCGGGAGTGCATGGACAAGAATTGAAGGATATTTACCAAACAACTAACATGGCTAAGGGGTCTATGCCATTTCGGTATTTGGGAATTCCACTTGCGGCAGAAAAATGGAAGTTTAGTTCTTATGACTTGTTTGTCAATAAAATTTCGGGATACATTGGAGCTTGGTCTAGGGCCACTTTATCTTATACGAGGAGGGCAGAACTTATAAGAGCGGTACTCCAAGGAGTGGAATGTTTTTGGCTTTCCATTCTCCCTATTCCATCAACGGTGGTCTCTAAAATTGTTGCTATTTGTCGGAACTTCTTGTGGGGATCGAAGAAACCATTGGTTGCGTGGAGTAATGTATGCTTACCAAAAAGTGAGCGGGGCCTTGGTTTTCGAGATATGAAGTGTTAGAACCTTGCACTTTTGGCCAAAACTCTGTGGAATATCCAATGCAAAAAGGATACCTTGTGGGTAAGGTGGGTTAACCATGTNGCGTTGGTTTTCGAGATATGAAGTGTTTGAACCTTGCACGTTTGGCTAAAACTCTGTGGAATATCCAATGCAAGATAGTTACCATGTGTGTAAGGTGGGTTAACCATGTCTTCTTACATGGATGCAATTTTTGGGAATATAAGGGCAGGAAAGATGACTCCCCATTGATTAAGAAATTGCTGGATTTAAGGGGGCAGATTAGTGAGACTGGGGAAAGCAGTGTTGCTGGACGGATACCCCAGCCAACACTTGTTCATGGGCAGTCGCATGCACAGCAAATACAGCATGGATCTGGAAATGAGGGGAGTAATGCACGCACACAAGCTGTTTCTAACGGTAATGGGCAGCAGGAAACACTGATGCGGCAGCCTCAAACTGAACATGGACAGCCTCAAGAACAGACTGGACAGAGTGAATTTCGGACTGGGCAATTCCGGATGGGCAGCTGGGAAATTTCTGGCCACTTTTGCAACAAAACGGCTTATGAATTTTTCAAGATAAAGGGAACTATGAAGACTTGGGCAGGTACCGTTTGGAACTCATCAGTTACACCCAAACATGCTTTTATTCTTTGGCTAGCTGCACAGTCCATATTGCTTACTAAAGACAAATTGGTGTTTTTAGATATTGGTAAAAATTGTTGCTTTTGTAATGTTGAAATGGAGACAGAACAACACCTATTATTTGGTTGCCATTTTACTGCCTCGGTATGGAAAGAAGTTCAAGGATGGCTTGGGATTAGACGATCCATGTCTACACTTCCAAGTGCCTTAAAGTGGATGAAAAAAGAAGCAAGGGGAACGACTTGACATAGCAAGGCGAAGAAGATCGCGCTTGCTAGCACCGTCTACCATTTATGGACGGCAAGGAACCGAAATTTTTTTGAAAAGCTTAATTCACAAGTTGAGAGCGTGGTTAGACGGATTAAAACACACATATACAAAGTCATGTTCACTTTGTATCCGCATGTTTTAGTTCTTTATGAGTCTCTGGTGCTACTTGTGTAATTGGTGTTTTTGTTTCTCTTTTGATTACCCGGGTATGCCCGGTATTTGATGTATTTGGTACTATGATCCATTGAAGTTTGATTTCTCGCCCGGGAATGCCCGGTGTACTTGTACATGGTTTTGATCAATACAATTAATTATTTACGGATTAAAAAAAAAAAGATCGAGCTGCAAGCTCCTGCCTTCTCTAACCCCATTCCACTTTATCAATTTTGGAGATTTTCATACCAAAACTTCAAACCTAGAAGTTCAAAGAGTAATACTATTTAACACTAGTGATATTATAACACTTATTTAAGTGGCACTAAATGATATTAAATGAGAGATACAATAATCGAACACGGGTACAAATAGGAGATCAAAGAACTTGCTACTGAATAAGTTTGCCAGATAGGGAATTGGACTATTAAGAGTGGATAAATAGGGACTTTCCAACTTTATGATGTATTTCACATTGTAAAAGTTCAAAATTTTCGCTCTTTAGAGTTCTTTGATCTTGCAAGAACGTCGTACTATGTGTATAAATCTCTTGTTCGTCTTGATAGTGGAGGTTTCCCCTCCAGATATTCTTTTCCAATTAATATGCTAGAATAGGGGAAATGCCAAAGCCCCCACTTCGGAGTAAGCAAGTGCCTAAAACCCTCTTCTATTACTTGGCAATTTAAAAAAAAATAAAAAATCTAAAACTTTTCAAGGGATACTCTTACAAAAGTACAATTAGGAAGAAATTTTGTGATGGAAAAAAGCCGTCTTTGCTAATTTGTTAGAGAATTTTTTAAATAAAAATAATAAAGAAAAACTTCGAGACAAATAGCAACCAAAAAATTTTAATTATTTTTTTATAAAGAAGGTAGAAGTCCGCTATTTTCATCTACCATTTTTATATATCTATCCCACTTTAAATTTATCCTTATTAAAACTTTTAAAAAAATACTATATTCATCCACGTAATATTACAACATTATTCTTAATTAATTCATTTATTTAAACATTATATATCGTCAATGCTTTTCATATAACGATAAATTCACAAGAGAAGAAACAGTTCATAGGCCAGATGTAACACTTAGGCCATGGACCATGTAACATCAACAAGACCCAAGTCTTCATTCAACCCTAAAGCTTTCCACACTGCATCAGATCCATCAACTATGTTATTTCCACACGGTGGTTGATATGCATGTTCTTCATCACAACCATTCATGGAGTCACACTCATCCACCACCTTCGCCGTTGTGCTCTGTCCATTGTTAGCGGTGATAAGTATGTTCTGCCCGCACCTCGATCCACCGGCATACCATCCGGTGGAGAGTGCGACTACTTTTTCGTCGTTACTATGGTATTGATTGTCGCATTTTGACGCGCCTCCGCCATCCCCGCCCTGACTAAAATCATTCAGTGAAAGTGTGGCCGGTGTAGAGGAGGTTACGGGTGGCGAGCACTCGTATTTCGGGTGGGATGTTCCGTCGCAAATGAGGGTGCCGGATTGTTGGCAGCTGCCGGAAGGGGACGGAGAGGTTCCCCCTTGGCATATATGAGTTCCGACATCAGGATCATCAGTGCATTTTCCACTTATGCAAATCAATTGCCCGGAGCAGTCATTCAAGGTGCTGCATGGACCATTGCAGGAAGAAATGGCATTTCCAGGCGAAGACAGGTTGAGGATATAAATCACTATAAGCAATGAAATTAATACAATATTTGCCATTGTATGTGCCTAAGTGAATGGTATGGGATAAGGAGTTTGCATGCGATATATATAGTGGTACCTGGCCGACTTTATATACATGGCCGTTGATTACAAATAGGACGAATAAAGAGAAATTAGAGTGGGACGATATCGTATATATGTACACGTGATTAGATCATTTATTCAAATCATAAACAATTAGAATGTCGAATGGGTAAAAGAGAGAAATATAATGAGAGGACGGATCATTCAAAGTTCGAGGTGTTACGATATGAATGATTCATGGTTCAAAATATCGTGAGACAATATTACTACATGTGCATATAGAATCATCTTGCAAAATATTTTTGTGTGTAAAATCTGTGTACTTGGTATATGATAGCGAACAACATTAATTGATAAAAGAAAGATTTTATTTATATTATCATTGATTATAACATAATAAAAATGAGAAAGACGTGATTTTCTCTCTTTTTTTTCGAATATTTGATAAATGATTTAAGAACGTGACTCGTGCTACGAAAGGGCAACTATAAAGAGGATATGTGGTCTTAAAATTACTACATTGAATGCCCTGGTTTAAAGCTAGTTCGTGCTGGCTCAATTATCTATGTGCATGTACCATGTCCTACTAATAATATGAGATTGGCGAGAACATTAGCTTTAAATGAGTAATTATTTTATTGGTAAAAATTGGAAACAAAATAAACTACTTATTTTCATGTGAGAATTTCTTACTCGACATTTTTCCACATGAATATAGATAATCTATTGGTGTCGATCTTACCGATTCAAGAAATGATGACTTGCTTATGAGTTTACTCCAACTTCATGGAGTCAAGTCAAGACCACATATTACGGGTCCGCAAGAATTGGTCATTGTTGCGAAATTTCTCTTCAAAAGCAGGAAGGGACAGTACCCCGTGACACACGGTCTTGACTCCATACAATTGGAGTTTGACACTGTTTCTTGGTCTTTCATTTTTTTTTACTATGGGCTTTTCAATTCAGCAGCCCAAAGAGGAAAGAGGAAAAGGAAGATTTTAATTTCAAGTTCAAACAACAAATTTCACTCGTCTCTGTCCCGACTTCTCCTCTCTCTCATCTTTCTTCTCGAGAATCCTACCAAGTGTGAAATTGACGTCCAATTTTCAGAATTTATTGATCAATTTTCTCTAAAGTTACTGAATTTCTTGTTATATAGCGATTAATTGAATTTTGAAATATTTTATTTTAGAATTCAAGTTTAGAACTGTATGTGAATGTTGGAATTGAGTTATTGCTGCGTTTTTAGTTTTCTGTGGAAGTGGAAATGGAATGTATCGTAATGTTGGACAGAAATAAACAGAAATCTCAAAAATAATTTCATCAAATTCTTTAGATTATAGAATTCAGGATCGGGTTCAATATATAATTTTCTCTTAGTGTGTATTTTTGTGAGCTTTTGCATTTCTGTGAGATTATGGAGTCAAGAACTCGTCTTGAATATGCTCTGTGTCAACGGACTCCGACGAGAACTAGGTACAATCTGTGAATCTCCATTCCCATTGCATACATATAATTTAATTTGAATTTGAATTTGACATTGTTATTCATTAATAACTTTGGCCAAAAATAGATGTAATCTTGTGATCGTTGCTGGTAAAAAGAATTAGAAATTAGGATCCTTTTCTTTCCCATCTTAAATCAACTAAAGATCAAATTTAAAAGAATGATATTCAGATATTCCAATACACTAAAACATGTCACCAAAAATGTTTCTTGGTTGAACCAAGTTGGTTCACTAAAGTCATTCTAAAAAGGTAAAATATTTTATTATGGGAACAATCTGCCCGATCAGGTCGCGGGGGTTCGGGGGCAACGCCCCTGACGGGGATCGAAAGGAATTCTGATTTGTAAACGATTGTGATCTTTTGTAATTTTTTTAATGTTTTTGAATTAAATTATTAATAAGCGAAATTATATTTAGTTTGTGTAAAATGTAAGCAAATATTATCACCTAAAATTTAAAATAAGTGTTTGTAAATTTGGTTAATGTTATTTTTAAATGTATTGTATAATTTTGAAATATACAAGATAGAAATGATGTTTTTTTTTCTATGTGTTTATCGTATATTATTATTTGTACTATAATGAATAAAATAAAAAAAGGTTTGCGCAGTGCAGAGCATTCACTCCTCAAAGTGCGGAATACTAACTCCGGAGTTTTTTTTTTTGCTGCAATGAAAAAAAATCATTTTTATATCTAATTCATATCATTTTCATAGACAATCTCATTGTCATAGAAAACAACTTAATAGATTTACCATTTACCTACCAATCACTATCCTACGAAACTTAGTTGCAATCAGTAATGCAGGAAAATAGCAATTGTAACATCCATTGGAACATGTATTCGGAACATCCATCACAATAGTATGTTAAGTTATGGAATTGTTGAGGCTCAAAGCAACTAACAGAAATTGAAAAAGGTTATTAGTGGATATAACTCTTTTCATAACTGGAAATAAGATTCTTATGAAAAATATTAACCTACTTAACATATATGCATATGTGAAAAACTAATAGAAATACATGAAATTGGCAAGCAAGTTCTATGGTTTAAACGAAATTTCTTTTCAATGTCTTTTGGGAATATAAAATACACATACCTCAGGATGTCTATTCGAAAACTTCCACACAAATTCAAATCAGGGAAATGTAACTTGTACTGCATTTTTGTACCAGCTCTTACAACCCCCATAAGGCCTATGGTTGATTTAAATTGAAATAGTTGTTGTAAGTTGAAGTAGAAAAGGTGTGAGAGAAGTTGCAAACTGTAACATATCTCTCAATTTTGTACAAATGATTACAACACAAGAATTTTTTTTTTTTTTTTGTTGCAGTTTCAATTGCTTTTCTGAAGTCAACAATGGAATTGTGTGTACAAAAAATCCTCGTAGTCTGTGGGTATTTGATGTAGCGAAGTAAGAATTGATGTTGTGGGCAAAACGTGTAAAAGGAATTGCCGTTTCTTTTTTGGCCTCCTTCAAGAGCAAAGCAGGGATGTAAAGTCAACAATTGTGGTATAAGTACAGTAAACGGTGGCTTTCCCCAAGAAGAAATCAGATATTCAGAGACAATAGAGTAGAAATAGGATAAACAAAAAACTTCACAAATGAACAGTAAACAATGTGTTGAAAAAAAGGTAGAAATGAAATAAACAAAAAGCTTCACAAATGAACAATAAATGGTGGATTCTCTCTTTTAAGATAGTAGGAATATGCTAGAATATGGGTAATGCCAAAGCCCCTACTTCAGAGTAAGCAAGTGCCTAAAAATAATTTGTTAGCGAATTTTTTAAATAAAAATAATAAAGAAAAACTTCGAGACAAATAGCAACCAAAAAATTTTAATTATTTTTTTTATAAAAAAAGGTAGAAGCCGCTATTTTCATCTACCATTCTTATATATCTATCTTACTTTAAATTTATCCTTATTAAAATTTTTAAAAAGTACCATATTCATCCACGTAATATTACAACATCGGCCCGCTCTCTTCCCCGAATCGAGAAAGAGAGCAAAATTCAGGATTCAATTTTTTATTAATTAAATCCCTACTTTTGGTCAAATTTTGCAGGCCTCCCCCCCACCCCTCCCCATTAACTTTTCTTCACTTATTTTGTACTCCTTTCAACCACCCCAACTAACCTAGCAAACTATATTAATCCAAGGCCATTTTTTCCATTCACATCCATTTTTGCCACAGCCATAGCCATTTTTGCCAGGTTAGTTGTATTTTTTTTTTTTGTGTACTATACAGATTTTTTTATTTGTGCAAAAAAAATAATATATATGCTTTCATTGTTTTTTTTTCATGTAGTGTATAGATTTTTTTGCTCAATAATTTTGGTTTTTTATCAACTGATACAGATGAGAAAATCTTGAATTTGGTAACTATTGCTCTTTGTTGTGTTTGTTTTTGTTAAAGATATGTTGGTTGTCATCTAAAGGATGCTCGAATGCCTTCTTTATGATGAGAATATCTTGAATTTATTTTTTGCACTGCATTCTTTAGGCTTGAAGTAGAAAAATGGTGTATGGCTAGATGTAGGATGGTTTTCCTTCTCCTTTCTTATGTTAGTCACCATGCTAGGTTAGAGCAGTTCGTTCACTGGATTCTTATCTTTCTTATCGCTGTTAAAAGATGAGTCGAAGCATTATTTTTTCGACTAGAGTTTGGTAACTTGTTTATTATTATTTTTTTCGCGTAGTGTACAGATTTTTGTTCCATATTTCTTGTTTGAAAAAAAAATTTTAATTTTTTGCATGTTTGTTTTGATTGTATTAATACTATTATTTACATATTGTGTGAACTAAATGCTAATTACATTTGTGATATAATCTATTCCCCACTATTACCTGCAGTTAATTGATGTATTTTATATTGTGCAATTTTTGTAGAAATGGAGTCTGCGAGTGATGACAATGATTTGAGGGTTATCCATGCCGACACATGATTTGCTACATGAAAAAAAAACAAGTGATGTTCTTGCCGAAGAAATATATTCTCCGTAGGTGGACAAAAAATGCTAAGCAAGCCAGAGTGTTCGATCCAACTACTGGTTCATTTGTTGACGATGGTCCTGGTCAATCGTTAATGTCTCGACATGGGATATTGTCTCATGCAGCTTCAAATCTAGTTGATGATGCAGTTTTGACAGATGTTCGGAGCACTTTTCCGTTGAATGAGTTTCAAAGTTTGCGCATACGGCTCAAAGAGATTGACAATAGTGGGGGATGTCGGCTTGAGCAAAAACAGAAGCCAAAGTCGAAAAGAGACCCAAGCTATTTGTGATCCCACTCCTGTTAGAGCAAAAGGGAGTGGGAAGCGACTAAATGGTGAAAAGGAGAAATCACTTTCCCAATCCAATAATAGACAATGCGGTGCATGTCACACGAGTGGTCACGATAGAAGAACTTGTCCGATGGTGCAAAATAGGTTAGTCAATGTTAATTGTTTATTTACTCCTTGTTTTCATTAATGTTTGGTCAATTTGTTTCATGTCAGGTAATAATTTTATTTAGCATATTGGACAATACATATCAATCACAGTACTCGTAGGATGCGCAAGTCCCACCGTACTCATACCATGCATCAGACCCACAGTACCAGATCATGAGTCGGACTCACAGTACTACAAGCAGTAGCAACTTTGAAGTGGCCTTGGGTTTTTCCACATTCACTATTAGTTCCCGTAGATGTAGTTTTATTGTGTTGTGTACGGTTTAACATGTTTGATTATCGGTTTGTTTAACTTTATTGTAATTATATTATCGTATCTTATTATGCTTGAACGTGGTTCCAAAATGCATTGTCTAACAAATATTTTTTTGTTTGCCAATTCAAACAATGGATGCAAAATTCACAATAATTCGAGCGAGTTAAACAACAAAATAATACATTCAATATTAAGATATTGCACAAAAATTTGTCAAAACAAACATGTAAAAAAATTAGTAAATGAAGAAAAGGAGTACAAAATAAGGAGTTGGCATGTTGTTTTAAAAAAAATTAGTAAACGAAAAAAATGAGTACAAAATGTCTTGGTTTTACACGTTTTTTTACATGCCAAACCAAACATTTATTTTGTACTCCTTTCAACCAAACATTGGAGTTGGGGTGGTTGAAAGGGGTACAAAATAAGTGAAGAAAAGTTAATGGGGAGGGGGAGGTGGGCGGTTGAAAAAATGAAATGACAAAAGCCTGCAAAATTTGACCAAAAGTAGGGATTTAATTAATAAAAAATTGAATCCTGAATTTTGCTCTCTTTCCCGATTCGGGGAAGAGAGCAGGCCTGATTACAACATTATTCTTAATTAATTCATTTATTTAAACATTATATATCGTTACTCCTTTTTATATAACGATAAATTCATAAGAAAAGAAATAGTTCAAAGGCCAGACGTAACACTTAGGCCATGGCCCATGTAACATCAACAACACCCAAGTCTTCATTCAACCCTAAAGCTTTCCACACTGCATCAGATCCATCAACTATGTTATTTTTAGTTTTTACACGGTGGTTGATATGCATGTTCTTTATCACAACCATTCATGGAGTCACACTCATCCACCACCTTCGCCGTTGTGCTCTGTCCATTGTTAGCGGTGCTAAGTATGTTCTTCCCACACCTCGATCCACCGGCACACGTATTTCGGGTGGGGTTCTCCGTTGCAAACGAGGGTGCCGGATTGTTGGCAGAGTCCGGCACGGGACGGAGAGGTTCCCCCTTGGCATATATGAGTTCCGACATCAGGATCATCATTGCATTTTCCACTTATGCAAATCAATTGGCCGGAGCAGTCATCCAAGGTGCTGCATGGACCATCACAGGTAGAAAGGGCATTTCCAGGCGAAGAGAGGTTGAGGGTATAAATCACTATAAGCAAAGAAATTAATACAAGATTTGCCATTGTATGTGCCTAAGTGAATGGTATGGGATAAGGAGTTTGCATGCGATATATATAGTGGTACATTGCTGACTTTATATACATGGCCGTTGATTACAAATAGGACGAATAAAGAGAAATTAGAGCGGGACGATATCGTATATATGTACACGTGATAAGATCGTTTATTCAAATCATAAACAATTAGAATGGCGAATGGGTAAAATAGAGAAATATAATGAGAACACGGATCACTCAAAGTTTGAGGTGTCGCGATATGAATGGTTCATGGTATAAAGTATCGTGAGAGTACTATTACAAGTGCATATAGATTAATCATCTTGCAAAATATTTTTGTATGTAAAATCTGTGTACTTGGTATATGATAGTGAACAACATTAATTGATAAAAGAAAGATTTTATTTATATTATCATTGATTATAACATAATAAAAATGAGAAAGACATGATTTTCTTTTTTTTTTTTCGTATATTTGATAAATGAATAAGAACGTGACTCGTGCTAAGAAAGGGCAACTATAAAGAGGATAGGTGGTCTTAAAATTACTACATTGAATGCCATGGTTTAAAGTTAGTTCGCGCTGACTCAATTATCTACGTGCATGTGTACCATGTCCTACTAATAATATGAGATTGGCGAGAATGTCAGCTTTAAATAAGTAATTATTTTATTGGTAAAAATTGGAAACAAAATAAACTACTTATTTTCATGTGAGAATTTCTTACTCAACATTTTCCGACATGAATATAGAAAATCTATTGGTGTCCATCTTACCGAGTCAAGAAATGATGATTTGCTTATGAGTTTACTCCAACTGCATGGAGTCTAGTCAAGACCGCGTATTACGGGTCAGCAAGAATTGGTCATTGTTGCGAAATTTCTCTTCAAAAGCAGGAAGGGACAGTACCCGTGACAAAGGGTCTTGACTTCGTACAATTGGAGTTTGACACTGTTTCTTGGTCTTTCATTTTGTTTTTACTATGGGCTTTTCAATTCAGCAGCCCAAACAGGGAAGAGGAAAAGGAAGATTTTAATTTCAAAGTTCAAACAACAAATTTCACTCGTCTATGTCGCGACTTCGCCCTAATACCTCACTGCCTCAGCCTTTATGTCTCTCCTCTCTCTCATCTTTCTTCTCGAGAATCCTATTTTTGACCAAAAAGCACTCCCAAGTGTGAAATTGACGTCCAATTTTCAGAATTTATTGTTCAATTTTCTCTAAAGTTATTGAAATTCTTGTTATACATAGAGATTAATTGAATTTTGAAATATTTTATTTTAGAATTCAAGTTTAGAACTGTATGTGAATGTTGGAATTCAGTTATTGCTGCGTTTTTAGTTTTCTGTGGAAGTGGAAATGGAAATGTATCGTAATGTTGGACAGAAATAAATAGAGATCTCAAAAATAATTTCATCAAATTCTTTGGATCATAGAATTCAGGATCGGGTTCAATATATAATTTTCTCTTTGTGTGTGTTTTTGTGAGCTTTTGCATTTCTGTGAGATTATGGAGTCAAGAACTCGTCTTGAATATACTCTGTGTCAATAGACTCCGACGAGAACTAGGTAAAATATGTGAATCTCCATTCCCAATGCATACATATAATTTGAATTTGAATTTGACATTGTTATTCATTGCTGGTAAAAAAGAATTAGAAATTAGGATCCTTTTCTTTCCCGTCTTAAATCAACTAAAGATCAAATTTAAAAGGATGCTATTCCAATACACTAAAACATGTCACCATAGATGTTTTTTGGTTCACTAAAGCCACTTTAACAAGGTATAGTGAATTTCTATTAGTTATATGCTTATCTGGATTCTTTTGTTTTTGTTATGTTAATTAATTCTATGCATGTGGGAGTGATTTTCTCTTTCTTGATTTTTTTTTATTTGTATTCGGGTTTGTGAGATTTGTAATACACCGAAGTTCTTGAGAGATTTATGACGATTGAAAGAGAGAGAGAGAGAGAGAGATCGAATAGGTTGATAGTTTAATTCAATCAAATGAACAATCTGATGTGGCAACAGATGCTAGAATACCACTTTCTTTACAAATCTTATAACTTGGAGAATGGTTCAAGAAGTGGAGATCCGATATTTCTAATTCTCTGGGGATGGCTCTTCTTGTAACTGGAGGATTCAAACACTGACTTGAAGAAGCCTAGCAAAAATCTCAAGATTTGACTGTTAAATTATGCCCACATTTGGTCCATTTCTCTTACTATTTGTTCAGAGAACAGTGATTAAGGGAATTAGGAATTCAATTTTCATCTATGGTTCGTGTGCAATCTCCAAGTACTTCTTGGAAGGTTTTAGTTAGCAATTTCTTAAAATAACTAGGTGCAAGTTTATATTTAATAGTTTTGTTTAAGAATTAATTTGTTATTAATAAAGATGTAATTTTTTTGGTTAATTAAATAATTAATGATGTAATGTTTATGTAATTGATAAATAATTAGATGTGTGATTTTGATGTTGTGA